TACTGTTCTATATTGTTTATGCCAAGGTTTTTAAAGAAAATATTGAGATCTGTGTCAAGGTCTGTACTTGGAGAATGGCTAGTTCTCCTTCCATCACAAGTGATGGTTGTTTTTGCTTTAGCTATCCTGTACCTATCGTACAAGTATTTTACCAATCCCCATTTTCTCCAGTTTTCCTACAAGGCACCAAATGCTTTTCTGAAGTCAGATAGGTATGGTCTGCTTATGCCATGTCTTAACAATTAGTTCTCATCCCACTGTTTACCTTTCCTAAACTTGTACCTCATTTTGTTTCATTTTCCACTTACTTTCACATCTTCTCTCCTTCAAACTCTGTTCTAAAGCAGGTTTATGCACATCTCTTCTCTTCACTTAGAGGGACTGTTTTTGCTATTCTCTAGCCATGTAGTGTCCCCTTTCTTCTACCCTGCACCTGATTTGAAAGATTCTTTGAACTAGATTTGTGATGTCTTGTGTCCAGGTCTTTCAGTATTCTGGCATGGAGACTACGCTCAGGTTGGGGAGAGTGTATATTAAGCTCTTTGGGTACGTTCAGATGAGTGCGCACGTGTGGTTTGCTGTGCCTCAAACCCCTTTGAGGCACCCCAAGCTGCATGGGCACATGTGCACCCGTTTGCCACTCTGCAGATTTGCAGTGTGGCACCAAAATTTGATACTTGGAGATCCTGGTGTCAAAAAAAAAAATGCCACAAAGTGGTATGGCACATGCGGCAGCAGCGTGGGCCACCAGAAGTGGAGATTGGCCAGCCAGAGCCAGGCTCTGGCTGCCAGCTGGGCTCTTGAGTGGCTGGATTGGCCCCATTGCTTCCCCAGGACCTCAGGTAAGGTCTCCCCTACCCCACCTGGGTCAATTTGCCATGCCCTGGAGTGCGCAGGTAGGCACATGCCCTGGTACAAAAAGGTGCCACAGGAAATGTGCCACAGGAAATTGTGCACCCCTGCACGTGTGCGCTTGTCTGGATGCACCTTTGAGTTTGTTTTTATGCCCAGTGTGCTATTTTTTCTTATTCTTTTACTTTTCTTCTACTTTTGGTCTTCTCTCCTGTTCAGCATCATTCTTTTCGAAAACTGAAGCTAGAATTTTTTTTTTGTGGCTATACCTATGAATCCTTAATCTTGAACACTGCCTCACTGAATAATACCACCCCCCACTTATACTTTTTCTTTTTTGCTTTCTGTAACTAAGGAACATTTACTCTTTTGTTTGATTTCCTTTTCCAGGTCCAACTCAGCTTGGTTGTTGCCACCTCTTTCTTCATTCCTCTACTTTCTGGCCTCTGAGATGTAGTATTTTGTGCTGCTCAATCACTTTATCCATTCCTTTCTGGCTCTCTTACTCCTAATATCCCTTTTGTCTGTCTCTTGCTTCCTTCTTTTTGGGCTCTGCTTTTTTTCAATAGGATTTTCCAATACAGTTGATTTATTAATCATTTACTATGAACTTCAGAAAGTGTCCTTAGAGGAAGTAACCCTGATAAGAAACCTAGTTTCTTCCGTCTGGTAACATTGTTTTCCCCAGAAGACTAGTTCAGATTATAGACTGAGTTTGCAATATTGAGGGTGCATAACTACTTCAATTGTTTTATAGTTTTCATTTTGAAATTGGCACCAATTCTTTACAGACTCCTCTATCAGCATTTGTTGGCCCTTAAAATTATTCCTTGCTCCTCAACTATTCATTGGGAATAGGAAGTGGTATACTGCACACACAGTGGGGTCCATTATTGACCGAGGGACCAGACGCAATGTTGCATTCTTTTTTAGGGCCAGTGTTCCCGTCTTGACTCCCTGAAATGTCAGATGCCATGCCATGAGGGGTGCCCTATTGTGTTCCTGAACCAGTAAAACAAGGCTTGTCACTGCTGGATTTTGAAGAACTGAGGGCCAAATGTATTTCCCAATGTCTGCAGAAAGTAACAGGGCAATTATCTTGTATTGGATGTTCCTAGCAGTCACGAGGTTGGGGGTCAGTCTCCCCACTTTCTGTAGCTTCAGGCTTGTTGCCCACCATTGGGTAGCAGATGGCTGCCCCCCACCCCCACGTATATGTAGGAAGGGAGCTGTGAAGGTGCTATCTACCTAATAAAGAGGGTCTCCATTAGCAAACTTAATGTTCTTATTTTAGACTCGGGAGCAAGAGGAGCTGGAGGAAGCATTAGAGGTTGAACGGCAAGAAAATGAACAGAGACGATTGCTCATACAGAAGGAAGAACAGATGCAGCAGATCATCAAGAGGAAGAACAAACAGGCACTTCTGGACGAACTGGTGGGTGACTCAATGAAACCAGAGGCTTTGTGCTTTCTGTAGCAAGTATGTGTAGATCTGGTTTCTTCAAGAGGTGGGCTGCTACTGCTCATGTACTTCTCCTTGCACACGCCAGCTTTATACGTGTCTCATTCTTCTCCTCTTGTTTCTCATTAGTGCAGTGATTTGTGAATAGGTTTAATTTGACACTATTAGGAATGATGCAGTGACTAATGGTATTAAATGCTGCAGAGAGGAGTGGATGTTGGGTTTTGGTTTTTACTGCTTCTGTCTATAATTCTTCCATTCACCCCCAACCCGACACCAAGTCTTTTTGTAGATTTTGTTTTCTGTTTAGATTTTGTTTTCTGCCGAACCTCTTCAGAATACTTTGACGTCATAGCATTTTTTTTTTAAACCCAGTGCAGTGATTAATTTAGCTCAGTGTTTCCCAAACTTTTGATATTTGGAGCACAATCGTTTTCTGGATTAAAATTAGCTGCACTAATGCACCCTTGCACCCAAAAAGTGGTGGGGGTGTATGTGTATGTGCACACATGTACATATTTTCCCATAAAATGCAAAGGCTGTTGCAAATAAAAATGCAAAAATAAAAGTCTTTTTGCCCAGCAGATCAGGTGAGCAGTGCAAGTTGGTCCCATGGGTTGGATCCAGCAGGTGGGCCTGATCTTGTGTGTGGTGCTGGCCCAGCTGGAGCCCAATCCTGCCATTCAAGGTCAGTGTGGCCAGGGCCCATTCCTGTTCATGGCACACTTCTGCCACCCTTGTGGCAGACTAGTTGTCACAACACATGCTTTGGGAATCACTATTTAGCTATCAGTAAGGGTTTCTGCTTGATGCACTGAACATCTGAAAGTCTTAGTGAGCAGTAGGTGGTGTATTGATTCTCATTAGGGGAAAAAGATTTTTCCTGGAATTTGCCATATTCTCTGTCTTCCCTTCACCCCCTCCCAAGTTTTCTTGGCATGTGCAGTTACTCCTCTTGAAGAGTAAATTGAGCCTTTTTTGGTTGATTTAGTTATAGTGTGTTCTTGGAAATGGTGTGGCAGTCTTTTTTTTTTATATGAACAATTGAAAAGTGACCTACTTTCTGGAATTGCCTCTGGAACTTCCCCTTAATCCATCACTGTGTGCAGTCAAAATTTCAGTGGTAATTTAGGGACGCAGGCAGCCCACACAGTTTATGCATGGTTTAGTTTCAGTTACAGATGAACATGTTGTTATTTATGCTCATACGCGGTCCTAGGAGGTTTAGGTGAGAGGGGTGTGTGTGTGTGTGTGTGTGTGTGTGTGTGTGTGTGTGTAAAAGTTAAGGCAGGAAGAATGCAGAAAAACCAGGAAGGTTGTATGCAAGTGATTCTTATGTTGCTGAAGTGGTATAAAGATGTGGTGCATGATTCATTCAGAATTTCTCTGCTGCTCCTGTTTACCTTAAACCAGGTCTCTTGCATTTTTACTTCCAGTTGCTTTAAAGATGTAACTTCCTCTGCAGGTTACCGGGAGCTCCTCTCTGACCCAGTGGGAGATGGGTGCCGTGGGATTTTGGAGAACGTTTCTGAGTTCAGGATGGTGCTGAAGGAATGTTTGCTTGGGGCCGGGGGTCATGGCAAGCTTTTGCTGGATCCTTTGAAAGGAGCGGGTGTTTCACTGTTCTTAGATATCAAAGTACATATGTAAAAAGCCTCATTTTTACTCCAATATGTACAAATCTTGACACAGTGGTGCCCAACCTTTTTAGACCACAGACCAGAAGTGACCACGGACTGGCAAACTGCGGACCAGCACACTGCGGACTGGAAGTGACTGGCATGCTGCGGACCAGCAGCCAACTCTTTTTTATACTGTGTCTGCAGTATGCCGATCACTTCTGGACTCCTGGTCCGGCAGCCAACTCACCGCGGCCCAGAATCGGGCCGCAGCCCGGGAGTTGGGAACCTCTGTCTGAGAGACTAACATTATCTTATAGCATCGTTATCTTAGCACTGCTAACGATCAACTTTGAACCATTCTTTTTATAGCGGGGCAGTTCATTCAAACTGAATTCTGTACTCAGTGTCATTATGTGCTGGATTTGAAAAAAAAGATTTTGAGCTAGTCGCTTCCTTAATAAATGCATTCAGTCGAGCTCTGAAATACATTTTTAATTTACTAGGGACTGACATTTGTTTTTTTACACAGCAGTTGGTTTTACTGGAAATAGAGTTCACCAGATGGCTTAAGAAAAAAGAGCAGTTATAAATAATCTTTATAACATGACCAAAATAGGTAATTTAACTATGATTACACTTGCATTGCTATTAAAACACATTGACAATTTTAAAAACAAGAGAAAGGTAATTTTAAATGCAGGGGAGGGAAGTTGGGAGACTAGATTGTATCTCTGGTGTATAAAGGGTCACTGTCAGCTTTAAATTTAGACCCAAACTTCGTTTTGTAAAATCAGACTTTTAGAAAAACAGTCGAAGTGTTTGTGCAGCGACTTCTCCAGTTCCTATGAAAACAATTGTTTTTAAACAAATAAACACCCCCGTGGTATCCGAAATGCAAACACGGCAAAGCAGCCGATCGAAAGTGAAGCTGCCTTCAACTGCAGTGAATCAAATGCTGTTTCTGTTGAGAGCTGCCAAAGAGAGAGCACCGGCAAAAGAGGTGAAATTAAAAGAGAGATTAAAAGCGAAGTTTAAAAACTGCATATTAGTGCTAGAAGTAGAGAGATGGCTGCTGGGGGCTCACCCCACAGGTTGCTGGTTTCGTGGAAGTTAGCGGTGGAAACTCCCGCTGACTCCAGGGAAGTCCTGCCGACTCCACCCGTGGAAGGTCTGATTTCATGTCTAGGCCGGAGGAAAGCTGATTCTCAGGGCGTTCTTGTAGTGGCTGCAGTACTGGTTCAGCACCCAGAAAAGCTTTCCTTCAGATGGATGCAGAGATCTCAACGCCAGGGTTCAACTCTGTTTTCATGGCCAGTTGCTGAGACTGCTCGGCACAGCGAAGAGAGCAGCATGTCAGACTAGGGAGCTCTCACGTACTTTCAAGAAGACCATTTTACCTTTTGTGTTGAAGCCTTCTTCAGTTTTTATTTGAATTGCCACAGGGACTAGAAGCAAAGGTGGGCTGGGGAGCAACGTCAGCGGGCACGTCTACACGAGACGTTTACTGTGGAGCAGACTAGTTAGCATTGTGTTAGGTACTGTACAAGCATCAGAGATCTCCTTCCTTGAGGAGGGATCAGGTAGACAAAAGGTGGGAGGGGGAAGAGAGGTGACACACGGCAGGGCAGTGGCCAGGCCAGTGAAAGAGCCCAAGTCTCCCGCCTCCCACTGCTCTAGCCACTTGGCCGAGCTGCCTCCCACGACAGAGTTAGGCTGATTTCATGTTGCAGCTGGTGTGTCTCCGAGGAAGATAGCTGCCACTTTTCCTAACCATACTGACATACTTGTGAATCTTTACCCTTGCCATGCTTCATTCACAGTTCATAGTGAGAAATACTTCTCCCAGGCCGGCTTTTCAGACTTCTGGGTAGAGCAAAAACATGCCCACCATATTAATGTGAATGCCACTTCGTGCTCATGGTTCAAGAGCTGCTTTTGTTTTTAGGAGAGGTTCCTGTGCTCTGGCCCGTTTATCTTGGAGATATCCAAGAAGTGAGCAGAACGAAATGGATGGGCAGAGTTGGCTGCAGCATCTTGTGGTGCAGAGATGTGGGGGAGCCCTGCTGTCCATAGGCAGGGGAGGGTAGAGGGCTGTGACTTGGCCCCTCAGGGCCTGCTTGGCCAGCAGATGCTCCTCTAAGTGCTAGAGTAACTCTGAGTGGGGCAGGTGCCAGACCTGCTTAAATCCACCTTTGCTTCCCTTTCCCTCCAGGCTGTGAGTTCTGGCTGCCTTGTTAAAGCCAATCCTTTAGGCACTCATGCACAGAAATAATGTCAATCATGTTGTTTTCAGCCTGCTTTCCTCATATGGCTCAGTATTCATTTGCACAAGTGATTACATGATTGCCCTTTGATATCCACCTCTTTGCAGCTCTGTGTTCATAGCGAATTACAACATGGCTTTTATTTGAATCTCCAAGTCCAGAGCTGTGGGTCTTGCTGAGATGATGCTGATTTGCCTCAATTGCTCATTTTCCTGTTAGCATCCCTATGCTGGTATAGAAGCAGCTGAGAAGTAGTTTTGTATAAGCTGTCAAGGGAGCAGTTTTTGTGTTCAGCAGCGGTAGGGTACTGCGGTTGGGCCGGATGCTCTCAGAAGTATATGGGGATTCTCACTACTGTTTGCTGCATCCCCCAACTGGAGCTACGGCCCCATTTGTGTAAGAGAACCTCTGCCGGTAAGTACTTGCAGTCTAATTCCAAAAAAGTTGTCAGTCTGGGTGTTGTGAGCTGTAGCAAAGGTGGGCTGGGGAAGGGGATGCCTCTAACATCAGTGGGCGCGTCTACACGAGACGTTTACTGTGAAGTAGACTAGCTCTGCAGTAAATGTTGTGCATGTATGTACACATGCGCCCCTATTAGGCTGGAGTAAACTAATTAACTCTGCAGCAGGATAGTATTTGTAAATTCAAGTACTATCCTGCTGTGGAGTTTACTCCTACTCCTAAGTTTACCCCGCAGCAGCGCATGTGCAGATGCTGCCCTGGCTGGCTGAGGCATGAGGGTGCTTCAATGCGGGGGGCTGCCTGTTGGCTAGCCCCGCACTGGAGCACCCTTGTGCCCCACCAGCCCTCTGCAGCACGCTGAGCCAGGGCAAGCAGCTGTGGGCTGGCAGGCTGACCCCCTGGGCTCCTTGCCAGCCGGGGCTGCTCTGACCCAGCTCAGCGGGTTGCAGTCCTAGGCATATGTTCAAGCGGTGCACCCAGGAGCAATGAACTCCAGAACCATAAGCTCTGGAGTTGATTGTTTCTTATTAATTGCATGTGTAGATGCATCCAGTATTATACAGCTTGATGATTTTTCAAAGGCACCCATGGTAGCCAGGTATCCATCGCCCACTGAAACTTACCCTTCTAGCTTAAGCTTTTAAAAATAAAATATACCCAGCCAGAGCCTGACCTCCAGGGTTCACTTGTTTTATAAATTTAGTAGCAAATTCAGATCCTAATGGAGTATTTGCTGGCCTCCTCCAAATAGAAGTGTCTTGAGCACTTTGAGGATAAAGTGCTGCAGCAAAGGACTCTGGGAGTAAGTGGCACCGATCT